TTATCTGTTTGACTTCATTGTTTTAAATATAATGTATCTATTATAAAGATGAACTCAGAGGCAAATAAATAATTTTTCAGAATCTTTTTTTCTTTTATCCTCACTCAAAGACATTTTTCCATTTTTTGTTCAGATAGAGTGGGAGGGAGAGAGAGATAGAGAGAGAGAGAGAGAGAGAGAGAGAGAGAGAGAGAGAGAGAAACATCAACCCACTGGGGACAAACTGCAACCGAGATACATGCCCTTAGCGGGAACCAAACCTGGGTCTCTCTGGACCGTAGGCTGACACTCTAACTGCTGAGCAAAACAGTCCAGGGCCGTTTTTCAGAATCTTTAATTGGGAGAGTACTTTGGTCAATAAGTTTTTACCATATATTTTTATATTACTTGCTTTCTTTCTTGGTCATCATTAATGACTGTATTATAAACACAGTACTGAAAATGCTGTGATTCATTGTGTTGGTCTTTCTTCATACATAGAGTTCCCTTTGCTGGAAAGCTTTTAAGCTCTTAAATGTATTTAAATGTATCTTCAAAATGCCAGATACATTTTACATTTATCAATTCCTACACTCATTCAACTAAATAGTGCCTTAGATACTATTGCAGTCTGTCAAAAACAAGCAAATAAGTTTTAATAAATCAATAAGGTATTTTGGAACAATTATCACTATTTGAAACTCATTAAATATTTTATTTTACAGTGTGAATTTTTATCATTTCTCAAAATATATTTTATGGGAAAAGCTTACAATATATATTAAAATTACTGTCCTAAAATATTTTACATTGTCACTAGCATTTATGCAAATTTATATTATATTATATTATATTATATTATTATATTATCTTGCTAACTTTAGTCATAATTCTCAATGATCTTTACTGATTTAATTTTTGGGAAAAAATAAGTTATTTTAATATTATCACATTGTTTCTTATTTGTAGGGAGAGTAAACATTCTCATATTTACTAAAAATAATTACTATTTTTCTAAAATTTTGAATAACCTCCTTTTAAAATTATTTGCCTTTTTATTTATTAACCGTTTATGATTTTCCTTATACTTTACCATATTTGCTGCTATAGGCCAATCATTTTTTTGCTTTTTAAATTTTTTCTTGACATATATTAACTGTACCTAATGAGTATATAATTCTCATTATTCCTAAGTCCAGAAATCCTTCTTCTCAAAAGTTACTAAATGTTCATTTATATCATACTTGTAGTTTCCCTATAATATAGATTGTTTAAATTATTTTACTTTTTACAACAGAATTTTTATTTAGAGGATGTTTTGAGATAAATTATTTAACTGTTGTATTTTTTTTAGAAAGTTCATTGTACCTCATAAGTTTATTGTTGAGATACTGTATAAAATTATATTTAAATAAATAATATAAGAGAATATTTAATGATTCGATATTGCGTCTCAATAAATTGTGGAGTCTCATAGTAAAAACAAAAGCAAAGGCATTTCTTTATATAAAAATTAATATCTTCAGGACAGTGACAAAGTCTTCTTTATATAAACATCTAGCAAAATGCTTATATATAACATTTTGTAAATGTTTGGTTAACAAAGTACTACTCGGCAATAAAAAAAGAAGGAAATTCTACCTTTTTCAACAGCATGGAGGGATCTGGAGAGTATTATGCTAAGTAAAATAAGCCAGTCAGAGAAAGACAGGTACCATATGATCTCACTTATATGTGGAATCTAATAAACAAAAACTAACCAACAAAATAGAAACAGACTCAGATACAGAGAACAGATGGACAGCTGTCAGAGGGGAGGGGGCAGGGGAGCAGGATTAAATACATGAAGGGTTAAGCAAAAAAATTAAATAAATAAATATCTTGTAGACAGAAAACAATAAATGTTTAGTTACTAGATAACAACTGAATGACATTTTATATAAATGCAATATACCTTATTATTATATATTATTGATAATTTTCTTATCCTATTTTGAAGGAATTTGTTTCTTTTTTTATTTTGTACTTTTTAAAGTGTGAACCTTTAATTAAATTTATTTTGAATGGATTCTGAAGATACAGTCTACAAAATTAAAAAAAAAGTTTTTTTTAATTTTGGTAATATAAAATTTCCCATTTTAGCCATGATTAATCATGCAATTTAGTGATAATTTATTTGTACTATCTGTTTCCAAAACTTTTCTTCACTTCAAACATAAATTCTTTAATCATTAAACAATAACTTCTATTTTCCTCCCCCTATAGAGTAGGAAAAAAAAACAATGATCCAACCAAATCTGCCTACAAGAGCTAACTTTATATCTAAAGAAAGACACAAATGACTTAAAGAAAAATAATGTAAAATCTATTTTATACAAATTGTAACCAGAAGAGAGCTTGGTGGCTTAAACTAATATAAGAAAAAGTAGATTTAAAGTCACTTTTACAAGAGACAAAGAAAATCATTATATATTGAAAATAAGAAATTATTCAACAAAAAGATATGACAACTATAAACGTTTATGCAGCAAACACCAGAGCCCAAAAGTATATTAAGCAAACATAGACAGAATTGGATTTTTATTACTCTGTCAAGTTAACATTTATTATGGGGGGTCCAGGGTGCTGGTTGGTGAGCTTTGGTCCAACACCAGACCACAGAAGGTCCTGAAGTACAGGTCCTGATTGGCCACTGAAGGCAGAACACAGCTTGTCTGGAGAAGCCACCTGGGCAGGTCCAGGAAGGATGCAGAAAGGGAGAGGGGGCCGAAATGACCTGGGCAAATGACTTTACTATGGTCAGTGGGTGGGGTGCTTTCGAGTTCCTGGGCTAGAGCTGGGTGGATCAATTTGTACCAGAAAAGCAAGGTTTGGGTACGTGCAATGGGGTTCACAAGGCGTGCAGGCCTGGGAGGCAGTGGAGACTGGCTCACAAGGGTTGTTTGGGGACATCATATCAGGAGCTTACATACATTCTGACCTTGCACCTGCTATTTAGGGTACTCGCTAACAGGAGGGGGCTAGTGTCCGTTTAAGATCCTTTCAGACCACTTGGCCAAATGAAAATGAAGCCAAAGCGACAATACTGTTGAGTATCTTGGCTAAACTTTCAGCACTGAAGGAGAAATAGACAATTCTAAAATAATGGTTGGAAGATTGGATAATGCACTCTCAATGATAGAAAAAAATAACTAGACAGAAGACCAATAGGAAATGGAAACCTTGAACAAGACCATAGCCAACTATATTCAACAGACAGAAACAACCTCCGCCCAACAAGAACAATATGCACACTTGCCTCAAGTGCACATGGAACATTCTCTGGACTAGGCCCCATGTAGGGACACAAAACAAGTAGTAAAACATTTTTAAAAACTGAAAGCATGTGCCCTGGCCGGTCTGGCTCAGCATCGGCCCTAGGACCAAAGAGTCTCAGGTTTGCTTCCGGTCAAGGGCACATACCTTGGTTCAATTCTGGGTCCTGGTGGGGGGTCATGCCAGAGGCAGCGAATTGATGTGTCCCTCTCACATCGATGTTTCTCTCTCTCTCCCTCCCACTCTGCCTGAGGATAAATGAAAAAATGTCCTTGGGTGAGGATTTCAAAAAAGAAAAACAAAAAAAAATTGAAAGCATGCAAAGTGTTAGACTCAAAGAATAGAATAATAAGTAATAGAATTCATATTTAAAATTATGCGTTCATTCACATGGTTTTATATTTAAGTGAATAATTGAATCATGTTAAGACCATGTAACAAAGTTTATAAAAACACACAACAAATTCCACTCTAGTATATCTTGAATGGAATCCTCTCAGAACAATACACTAGAATTACTGACAAAAACCACAGGGACATCTTTTATTTTTATAGTATCAGACAAATTCCAACAAAGGACATTTCACAAAATATCGTACCAGTAGTCATCAAAGTGGCCAGGACTGTCTGACAGAGAGAGAGAGAGAGAGACCACCACAGCCAAGTGGAGCCTACAAAACACAAGGAATACGTGTAACGTGGGATTCTGGTTGGAATCCTGTACCAGGAAAAGTTATTAGGTTAAAACGAAGGAAATCCAAATAAATAATGGACTCTAGGTAATAATAATGTCCCATTCTTGCTTTATTGGTTATGACAGTGTACCACCATACTATGAGATATTAACAATAAAGTAAACCCTGTGTGGGGACATAGGAACTCTCTTGCCATCTTCTCAATTTTTCTTTAAATTAACAAAAATTACATACACAGACATATATATATATATATATATATATATATATATATATATATATATTCTCAGTCCCCCCCCAAATGTTTGGATTTGTCACTGGGGTTCCATGTCACTATGTATTCAAACGATTAAGAACAGGGTTATGTTTTAATTAGTATCTTGGTTCTTAAAAGATTTCATATTATCTAAACCTATTACTGCAATACAAGAAGATGGTTGTGAGTCAAGTAACCCTCTGAACCGAGCTGGAGTAGCCCGGTGGGGCGAGCTGTATCAAACACTTATCCTAGTCAGTGTCATGACGGCACCATGTGACTTTGCGTCAGTTATTTGTTCAGGCTGACTTTCGCCCTGGCGAAGCTGCAGGTGAATAGCTTGAGCTTCAGGACAAAGTCCTACAGAATTATCAATTCAATATCATCTCATTTCTAGTAAACAAAACAAAGGCATGAATAATAGGTGTTTTTGATTATTTACTGGCATCGTTATCTGCTTTAAGTGAGCTTGTTTTTATTTCATGATAATGTAAAAGAATATATTGAAATTGATTTATTTGCATATATTTTCAGAATGATTATTTCATGGGTACATAGTTATTTCTAGAAATACAAGTATATACTGAATACTAAATTCTAGCTTTTGATAAATATATTTTAATTTAGTTTTTAATACCGGGATAAGAGTACTAATGTAATATGATTAACTTTTTCCGCTTAAAAGAGAACTACTTCTTGGTTCGAATGAAAATATTAATTGTGCTGACTTGCATATGTTCCTTTTTTCCTCGTAGGCTGTACTTTGGAGGTATAAGTTTTCTCAGCTTAAAGGCTCTTCAGATGATGGCAAGAGCAAAATCAAATTTTTGTTTCAGAATCCAGACACTAAACAGATCGAAGCAAAGGTAAACCCAAGTTCATCACATAAACCACCTCTAACTACATTAATACTGTTACGAGGCAAAGGGGAGAACATTTAGAAGAATCAAAAGTCAAAAGCACATATTCTCTGTGTGCTTGGACTGTCCCTCATGGCCAAACGAGAAAAATTAAAGATTTGAATGACTAATTTTTGCTGAAAAGCAAACGTAAACCAATTACACACAACTGCATTTCTTATTTTTAATTTCTCATGAACTTTATTTACATCTCACTGAAATTATATTCTGGGAACTAAAAAAGTCACTCTCTTGGTAGTTTAATACACTAAATAATAACTTAAAATGCTTTAAAAAGTTCTGACTCTTTTTATTCCTTTTTTTGAATGTGAATATAAATCCTTAAAGAATATTATTTTAATATCACTTCAAATTTTTCTCATGTTATCATGTTTTAAAATGAGTAAAAAAATGATGCTTTGCTTTTCTCGGTGTACATTTTCAGTGTTCTGAACTATATTAACTATGTTGCTTTTAATTAATCAAAAAAATTCACTACTTTTATTTTTTAGGAATATATATATATATATATATATATATATATTTTTATATATCCTCACCCGAGGACATTCCTGCATTTATCTTTAGATAGAGCAGGAGGGAGAGAGGGGGGAAGAGAGAGAGAAACATCGATGTGAGAGACACAGTGACTGGCTGCCACCCACACGACCCCAACTGGGGCAGGGACAAACTGCAACCGAGGTATGTGCCCTTAGAGGGAACCAAACCCGGGACTCTCTGGTCTGCAGGCCAACATTCTAACCACAAGTAGGCCAGGGAAGGAATTGGTATATTTTTAAATATTCAAAATTTGACCTTTTTTTAGTTATTCTCATTATCTTACTATGGAATTCACAATAACAATGTTTGGATTAGAATGACTTATAAGTATATCATGTATTCCACTCCCTTTATTTAATTCGTCTCATAATTTTCAAATCTACACTCCATCACTGCCTCTTTCCTAACGGAGACCCATCCATGGAGCTGCCTGCTGCTCATTCTTGCTATAGCTTCTTCCCTTTTCCTCTGTGGCTACCGCTTATTTTCATTTCCTTCGTTCCAGCCACTAACACTGCTCCTCACATTGATTCTTTGTATTACCATAAAAATGCATTACTATCGTCCAAAATATTTCTCTTTAGCTTTTGGGAGATGTCTCAGTCTTTCAAAACACAGGACAGACCCTAACACGGGTGACTGATGCCAATATGGTCCGTACTGTGTTCTGGTTAAGTGGAACCACGCCCATTCTCTTCCCGTCTTTTTCAATGTGCTCGCCAATCCTTAGCTGGCAACAGAAACAAAGAAACACACTGAAATGACTCGTCTCAAGTCTCCAGACTTCGGTCTAATGCAGCATGTACTATGTAAGGAACTAGTTATGCTTAACTTTATTAGTTCTAAGTTACCTGTCAGCCTTTAAATATGACTTATTCTTATGATAGTGTTTTTAAGAAACATTTTATAAATGCATTTATTTATAGCCAGTTTTGGAAGATATCCATTGACTCAGTTTCTTGAACTTATAGGCACCAATATAGAAAAAGCAGTCTCAAAAATACTGAGTGTTGAGTTATTGAAATTCTTTAAGGTCACCATCTTCTTCTATAAAATAGGAGTAATAATACTTCCATGGGTAATATTGAAAATACCAGATTAAATGTAGAGACTTACAACAACATGGTACTCACCAATCATAATGGTGACCAGTTTTATAGAATTGTTAGCCATACTGATGTGTATCACCTCTCCTGACACAGAAATTGTATAAAAATTAAAACTAGTACAATTGCTAACTGTTTTATAACCATTATCATTGCAACTTTTGAGCAATGATAATTAAAGGTACCATCACTAAATAAAAGCAAGAAGGATCTGGATTGCATCACTGTACCTACGGGGCCCGTGTGCCGTAACGATGGCTTATGGTTAAAGTTGATGTCATCTAAGAATTCAACACTTTCTTTGTCAAAATAGAACAACAACAAAAGAATGGCTAGGAACATAGTGCAGTGGAAAGAAAATTAGAATTAGGTATCTTTTTTACTATTTCCAAGACACATCACCTGAGGAATTTATCACTAAATTACAACTGCTACCTTGCAGGTAAAGTATAGGAATAAATATCCCCAGTTTTTGGCACATAGTAGAAACTCAGTAAATCACTGATGAAAAATTTTATTTTAAAATGTTTTTATTGACTTTTTAGACAGAGAGTTAGAAATATCGATGTGAGAGAGAAACATCGATCGGCTGCGTTCTGCATGCCCCCCACTGGGGGTCAAGCCCGCAAACCTGTCACGTGCCCTGACCCGGAATCAAACGGGGACCTCTCAGTCTATGAGATGATGAGATGACAGTCCAAGAAAGATTTGATTTTAAAAGAACCTAGCAAAATGACAAAGGAAGTATTAAAACCTGCAGCTCTTTTCATTAGAAGACAGGTTACTAATGATGACTTTTTTTAACATATGTAAACTTGCTGTCCTTCTCACATTTAAAACATTCAAGTTTATAACCATAACCCAAGTTTGTGTAATTCTTAAAATGTCAATATGGGAATTTTGCCCTGAGTCCCTATCTCGAAGACAGGTACAGAAACTTCTTCTATATATTTTATAATTCTAAGTTTAAAAATGCCATAACATTGGTATCCATCCTTCATGGTAATTATTCACTACCATGCCTTCTTCACTATATCAAGAACCTTAAAATTTTTTAAATTGATTTTAGAGAGAGAGGAAGGGGGAGGGAGAGAGAGATGGAAACAGCGATGAGAGAGAACATCGATTGGCTGCCTCCTGCGTGCCCCCCTCTGGGGATTGGACCCACAACCTGGGCATGTGCCCTGACTGGGAATAGAATCAGTGACCTCTTGATGCATGGGTCAACATTCAACCACTGAGTCACACTGGCCGGGCTATAGCAAGAACTTTTAAATACAAAGAATATGTCTTACAACATAGTATTTCTAAAGCTTAGCCTGATGATAGCTTGGAAGCAGGCAAATAATAACTCTTTGTTTTAGTTAGTATTTTATGGTATTATTTACTCATCCTTCCTAATATTTTTTTTCTAAGTTAATTAAGTAATCATAATCTGAATGGATTATAAAAATCCATATTATGAGTGCATATTGGAAGATCTAAAGAAGTATTTGGTGCCCTGTCTGGGTGTCTCAGTTGGTTGGAGCAATGTTCCATACACCAAACATTTGCAGGTCGATTCCCTGTCAGGGCACATACCTAGGATGTGGGCTCCATCCCTAGTTGGGGCATGTGTAAGAGGCAACAATTCAATGTTTCTCTCACATCAATGTTTCTCTCTCTCTCTCTCTCTCTCTGAAAATCAGTATAAACATATCCTTAAGTGAGGATTAAAAAAACAAACAAAACAAAATCAAGTATTTGGCATTTATTGTGTGTAAATACATGCTGAATTGTTTGTTTGATCAACTATTATTTTTTTAAAAAAATTGATTTCATTTACACTTTTCTTCAACAGAAAAAAATACTGTGGAAACATTTTTTTCTTTTTAAGACATGTTTAAAAAATGACTTCTGAAAAGTAAATACAGTTACTAAGACCTCAGATATAAATGTAAAGCTTTAGGGATTTAAAAGGATTTGTGAACTTGTTTATGGGGATAAAATAATTTTTAAAAGCATAATAGATATTACTTTACAATTGAGGATTATATGCACTTTTCTCAACATTTCATTACAAATTTTTCACACACACAACGTATTTTCAATAATTTTTATTAAATATCCATATATATACATGCTCTCTAAATTTGAGCATGCACATTTCAGTATACTTTTATCACATATGTATTTATCCATTCCACAATTCGTCCATTAATCTATCTTATGCTGACACTTTTTGAAGTAAATTACAGACAAAGGCAAGGTATTAAGCAATTTTCAAAATGTTGTATTTGTGGAATATGTCTCTGTCCCTCTGATCCTTTCCATATTCCTCACCAGTATTTTATTGGACACTGCCTTCAATTCACAGTGGTTTAAAATAGGTGGCAATTGTATAATTTTAACTGCATAATTTAGAAACAGTCTAAATAAATTATATCTTTAGTGGAAAATAATGCTATTAAAATAACAAAAATACCAGCAAGTTAGAGCATTATCTTTTAGTCTATAGATATTTAAAAATATTGCATATGAAGAAAGTAAGTTGTGTGTGTGTGTGTGTGTGTGTGTGTATGCATATATATATAATTTGAAACCATTTTTAGGGACCTAAAGCATGAATCATTTGATATGAGTGACAGTTTATAAATAAATGTTTTACAAAAACAGTATTTATTATCATGTTATTAGCATAATTATCTTAAGCATCCCAATGAAGAAAAGAAATAATAAACATATTTTCATCAAAAATCAATGATAAATATATATACATATGTGTGTATGTGTGTGTGTGTGTGTATAAAGAAAAATTAAACAAACACAAAGATTTGCTTTCTTATGACTTAAATTCACATGAAAGAGATCAAAATGATTTCTGTTACAGTATTTTGAGAAGTGTTTTGAAAGTATTGTTAAGCCCTGGCTGGTTTGGCACAGTGATTAAAGTGTCAACCTGCGGACCAGAGAGTCCCAGGTTCGGTTCCCATTACGGGCATGTACCTCGGTTGCAGTTTGTCGGAAGCCCCAGTTGGGGTCGTGTGGGTGGCAGCCAGTCCATGTTTCTCTCTCTCTTCCTCCCTCTCTCCCTCTGGCTCTATCTGAAGATAAATGTAGATATGTCCTCTGGTGAGGATAAAAAAAAAAAAAGAAAGAAAGTATTGTTAATAGCTCCCAGTGTACTTTTATAATTGCATTATACAACTTTTATGATCTTGGAGAACTATTTGTGAATATATTTTTATAATCATTAATGTATAAAAAGATTATTTTTTAAGTTAAACATAAAAGACATTGTGGTGGGTAAAGATGTGAAAA